TTCCTTCCTTCCTTCCTTCCTTCCTTCCTTCCTTCCTTCCTTCCTTCCTCTTTTAAGACAGGATCTCATGTAGCCCAGGTTGGCTTTGAATTTGCTGTGTAGCCAAGTTGAATTGAACCTGAACTTATGATCCTCCTGTTTCAGCCTCTGAAGTGCTAGGTTCAACCTCTGAAGTGCATACATGCTTTATGTGGTGCTGAGGATTGAGCCCATAGTCTATGTGCTCCCCAAGTACCCTTACAAACTGAGCTATATCCCATCCCAGATGTAAAAGACTTTATGAGACTGAGAAGGAGGGCACAGTAATCCAGGGTATGGGGAAAGAGACTTAAGCTCTGAATGTCATGCCCTGATTCTTCCACAGGTGGAAGAAGGCATGCACCTGCTCATCACAGGCCCCAATGGCTGCGGCAAGAGCTCTCTATTCCGAATCCTGGGTGGACTCTGGCCCACATACAGTGGTGTACTCTATAAACCCCCACCCCAGCGCATGTTCTATATCCCTCAGAGGTGAGTAAACCTAGTCACTAAGCCTTCTCCACTTCTTTCCATCTGTGCATCTGAAGAATCCACCTCTCAGGAAAGGATGCCAAGATGTTACACCAGATCCCAGTAGCCAAGAGCACAAACTAGTCCTGTCCATTTCAGATCAGGAGGTGGGGGTGGGGGTCTGTGAAGGTGATATACATACTTATGTCCATGCACATATGTGAGTATATGGACATGTTAGTTGGGAGACCGCCTGGGTGTGGTATGTCAGCAGTTAGAAAGCACTGTGAAGCATATTAAGACACAGCACTGTTGGGAAACAGGGACCTCTTGCCCCCAGTGGACATGCATCTTTTCTACAGGCCTTACATGACCGTGGGCTCCTTGCGTGACCAAGTGATCTATCCCGACTCTGTGGAGGACATGCGGAGGAAGGGCTGCTCGGAGCAGCAGCTGGAAGCCATCCTGGGCATTGTGCATCTCCGCCACATCCTGCAACGGGAGGGAGGTAGGGGCAGGGCACAGGGTTACACACCAATCACCCTTTGTCCCAAGATTCTGATGGGGATCGTGTTGCCAACCTACCTCTGGCCTCTACCCCAGTCCCAGGGGACAAGAGTTACCTCAGCATTCAGGAGTTCAAAGTGCCTGCCAGGAAGGAAGGGTAAACAGGTTGCAGGGATGCCAAGAAAGGGGACTTGTAGCACAGAAGTTACTTCATTGGTTATCTAGGAGACCCTTGGGGAGTGAGATGACAGCAAGACAGGATGCCACTGGAGCTTGGGGTAGGGAGATATTGGCTGCGCTTGTGAGACACTGAAAGCTCTAAGGCTGTATGTAACCAACTGACAGATCAGGTTTTTTTTAATATTGTTCATATTATATATACATTTGTGTGTTGCCTACATGTATGTCTATAAGGGTGTCAATTTTACATTTAAGCAAGCCTGACCCTTCTCTCTTGGTAGGATAGCAAGGCACATTCCTTTTTTTTTTTAAGATTTATTTTTACATTTTTATATTTATTTTTATTTGTATGTGCACTGGTGTTTTGCCTGCATATATGTCTGCTTGAGGGTGTCATATCTTAGAGTTACAGACACTGTGAGCTGCCATGTAGGTGCTGGGAATTGAACCCAGGTTCTCTGGAAGAGCAGTCAGTACTCTTAACCACAGAGCCATTTCTCCAACTCCAGGCACATGTTTCTGTTTACACAGAAGCTTGGAATCTGAGTAGAGAGCAGAGTTATGCATAACTCTGAGGAGAGTCCTCAAGGAGGAGGAGCAGGTAGCAAAAGAGCTTTTGAGAAGAAAAAGCTTATTGAGCAACATCTCCATGGTCTTGTGGTTGCCCTGAATGGCTAGTACCTGCAGCCAACCATTGCAACTTTTTTGGCTTGAATTTAACTCTGAGTAATGGTAATATGCTGGTTCCCACAGTGCTTCAAATAATTTATAGGTTTATCTTACTGTGCTGTAAATTCCAAAAGAAATAGACCACAGTTGGGAGCAGAAGTGTTCACTATAGACTCCAAGGATACATACTCTTTTACGAAATTATGATGCTGTGCATGGGGCTTCCATTCCTAAAGTTACCTTATGATACAATATGACTGCTCTAGCTATCACAATACAGTCCCCCAGACCATAGGATGGAGGAAGTGGTGAAGGACAGAGACAAAGGGTGCTTGCCTTCTGTCTTCCCAGCAGGTTCCACCAGTACTATATGTATGACAGTGGCTAGAATTAGCACCATGGTTACCCTTCACCACAGGACAACCTATAGTATTTCACATGTCTTAAGAAAACTTCTAGTCATGTAGAAACACAGAATGGTTGATAGGAGAGGACTTCTGTCATATACTCCTGACAAATCACCTTCCTCACATGCTTAATCAGTCCTCTATGCCAGCATAGTGGCACTAGACCATGAGATAAGGCCCAATTCCTCTGACAAAGGCCTCTGTCCTAGGGAGAACACTAACCATCCCTGAGGCTCTTTACTCTCATTACCTGCTGCCTGCAGAGGGCAGAGTTGACAGGTTCTTCATTGGCAAATAATTAGGTGTCCTGGGGCTGCCATGACTAAGTACCACAGACTCACAGGCTTTAGCAAAGAAATTTGTTTTCTGCCATTCTGGAGACAGATTTGGGTGTGGCAAGGCTAGCTCCTTCAGAGACTATGAGGTGCTCTGCTCAGCTGGTAGCACACCAACTTCTCACTGTGTGTCTTCATATCATCTTCCCTCTGTACATGTCTCTGTGTTTCAATTTCCATTTTCTATAAAGGTACCAGTCACACTGGATTAGGGTTCACCCTCTTGACCACAACCTGAGCACATTTGGAAAGACCCTCTTTCCAAAACCTGCAGCATGTGTTTTGTCAAGTAGATTTTGTTTGTTTGTTTGTTTGTTTGTTTTCGGTTTTATAAGACAGGGTTTCTCTGTATAGCCCCGGCTGTCCTGGACTCACTTTGTAGACCAGGCTGGCCTTAAACTCACAGAGATCTGCCTGCCTCTGCCTCCCAAGTGCTGGAATTAAAGGTGTGTACCACTGGGCCAGGCTGGAGAAAATTTTTGTTCCAAATCTCTCAGTAATTAGTGTTACAGGCAGATGAAGACACCAAGCAGAAGTCTGCAGCGAGACAAGTTCTGCGAGGGTCAAATATGGCCTGGCTTTCCATCAGCCTCATTTAACTCCTACTGAGTTCCTGTTTAATTAAGTTGAGTCCCTCACCTCCTGCCCAGGTTGGGAGGCTGTGTGTGACTGGAAGGATGTCCTATCTGGAGGTGAGAAGCAGAGGATTGGCATGGCACGCATGTTCTACCACAGGTGAGCACTGCAATGACTTTCAAGGACATTCATTAATTTGGACCCTACAAGAGAGGTAAAATGGGTGCTCCCAGTAGGAGGAAGACAGCTACATGGAGGAGCCTCACCCATCCCAGTTCAGCAGGGCCGTAGGTCACAAGTAGTTGGCAGGGGCTGGAAGCTGGAGAGTGGTGGGTAATTCACAGCTTTTCTCTTCACCCCCGCTGCAAGGCCCAAGTATGCCCTCCTGGATGAGTGCACTAGTGCAGTGAGCATTGATGTGGAAGGCAAGATCTTCCAAGCAGCCAAGGATGCTGGTATCGCACTGCTATCCATCACCCATCGGCCCTCCCTATGGTAGGTGCTCTTGGAGTTGTGGGAGAGGCTGCTACCTGAAGTGGGAAAGCAGCTATGACAGCCTCCCATCCCTCTCCTATTCAGGAAGTACCACACACACTTGCTGCAGTTTGATGGGGAGGGAGGCTGGAAGTTTGAGAAGCTGGACTCTGCGACCCGCCTGAGCCTGACTGAGGAGAAGCAGCGCCTGGAGCAGCAACTGGCAGGCATCCCCAAGATGCAAGGGCGCCTTCAAGAACTCCGCCAGATCCTTGGCGAGGCTGCAGCCCCAGTTCAGGCCCTGGTCTCCTGACTGGGCACCTTCCCCCAGCCTCCACCCTTCTCCAGGCTCTCAGATTATATGAAGGAAGCTGCAACTCCTACCTGCCCTGCATGTCTTCTCCCAAGCCTCCTAGCCAGTTATGTGACTTCTCTGAAGGTCCCACTCTTAAGCAAGTAGATATGAATATGACACTCTACTTCCAACTCCCAGCCCATCTTTCACTCTAGGGTCTGCACCATGAACTGTGCCCTGTTCCGGGCAATGTGTCCTTTACTTTTCTCTGGGGAAGGGTGGAAGGTTTGGAAGTCTTCAATCCTGACCCTACACCAGCATGGCTGAGCCATAGGAAGTAAGTAGGAGCTGCCCCCCTACTGCCAACAGCCAGAATATGTGACAAGCCTGGTGGTTATGGGTTACATCCCTCCTGAAACCCAAATCCTCATCATTCCTTTATTCCATCCCTTTGTTGCCATCCCCTAGGGTGGCCAGCCAATACCCCTGTCCCACAGGACACTGCCGCCCCCCCACCCTGCCTGTGTGCCATGTTCTGCCAAATGGGGCCCAAGATCAGACAGGGCCCAAATTGTGCCCTTCCCCATTGTAACCCCAAGAATGACAGTGTTCTTCCTGAGTGATGAGAAGAATGTAGCCCTGGCCCTCCGACTCTTCTACCTTCTACAACCTAATTTATTGGATTCCCAGTTTATAGATGTCTGCATTGTCAACATGAACACCCTGCCAGCACAAGAGGTGACTGGGTGGACCCTTCAATCTACCCAGCCTCTGGTGCCAAACCTGGCCCCTCACCAGCCTACACTGCCAGTTGCCACTGGGGTTGTCCTCTGCCAGCTAAGCAGGAGTGAGGGCACCATGTTCCCAGCTCAGTGCCAAAGAGGGGTCACAGGAGGTGTTGTGTCTGCTAAGCCAGCCCTCACCAAGAGGAAGACCCCCCCCCACTGCCACTGTGTGCCTTTCCTGGGCCCTCAGCCCTCTGGCTGGGGTGCCCCTTCAGTCCTCAGTAAAAACCTTTGGAAAACACTCCTGCCTCCTGGACTTGGTGTCTTGTAGAAGTTGTAGGGAGTGAGCCAGGCACTGGGGCACATGCCTGTAATCCTAGCACCTGACAGGTAGAGGTAGGCAGATCTCTGTAAATTCAAGGCCAGCCTGGTCTACAGAGTGAATTCCAGGACAACTAGGGCTACATAGTGAGACCCTGTCCCAAACAATAACAAAAAATTCTTGGGTAGGTCAGAATGTTGGCTGGAGAAAAAGAAGAGATGTGGGCCCAAGTGAGAAACTGATCCAGCTGCTAATCCCATGGGACTCAAAGAGTGCCAACAGCTGACTCAAAGTCAGTGTTCTCTGGTTATACCATTTGTACCCTAGGGAAGTAGAGCTGCCAATCATTGCTCTAAAATACCTTAGGCTAAATGACTTTGATCCCTTTGCAGGAGAGAAGGGACCCCTGTCTAGTCCCTGCTTATAGAAAGCCAGTGAGCTGCCAGGGAGGTAAACTGAGCACCGAAGTGATTTCGGGATTGAGTTGCACTGGTGCTTCTGAACCTTCTAGGAAGAGAAAACAGCTTGTGCAAAGGTCCAGGGGTGAGTGCAGAGAAAGAATCCAGTGCAGGGGGAAGGAAAAGCTTGGACTGAGACAAAAGGTCACTAAGGGGACTTATGCATGATAGGATTGGCCTTAGGTTCTGTGTCAAGCAGGCTGTGGAACTATGTGTGGACCCTTGCTAAAGATAGGGCAGAGCTGCTAGACATGGGGAAGGGATGGTGTGGGCAGCTCTCATAGAGCTAAGCTAAGTTACCATACTGCCCAGCATTCCTACTCTCAAGTCATTCCAAAGAACCAAGTTAGAAAACCGTGGCGTAGATGGTTATTGTATAGATTCTATACAGTATTCACAACATCCTGAGAGCCCAGCAACAAACAGAGAAACCCATAGAGTAGAATATATTTGACCATAAAAGGCAACAAAGCAGTGACACATGCTATAACATGCACAGACCTTAAAGACATACTACTGACATAAAGAAGACTGACACAAAGATCCAAGTATATGATTGCATTTAAATGAAATATCCAGAACAGCCAAATCCATAGAAACACAAAGCAAATGTACAGTGGCAGGGCTGGGGGCTGGGCAGTTTGACAGAATGGATATGGGGAGAAGTTGTTTAATGAATAGAAGTTTTTTTTTTTTTTTTTGGGGGGGGGAGGTGATGAAAATGTTCAATATTGAAAATTTACAAAATACAGCTGAACTGTGTACTTCAAAGAGACCTATGTGAATTTCACTAACAAGTGGTTCATAAATAGGTATAGATGGATAGACAGATACATAGATTGCTATTAAGATAGAAAAATAGGTGATGGATTGGTAGAACAATAAATTAGCCAGGCATAATGGCTTGGGTATATAATCTCACTTAATCTGTTGAAGCAGGAGGATTGGCACAAGTTTGAGGCCATATTGGGCTACCTAGTATATTCCAGGTAAACTAAAGCCAAGACTTACTTAGATCCGCTTTCAAAAAAGCCAAAAATTTTTTAAAAAGGCAGTAGATGCATAGATGATTCAGGAAAGATTATTTATAGATAGCAGATGATGGAAAAATAATGATAGATGGTAGGTATGATTGTTAGATAGATAGATAGATAGATAGATAGATAGATAGATAGATAGATAGATAGATAGAT